TTTTTCGAGTTTGATTTTATATTTAAACAGCAGCAGTAAACAACAACAATAATAGTGATTATATGCTATAAGGCTTTTTATTTGTAATATGCGACAACCACCCGAACTAAAATCCAACGGCCAAAATTAATTATGCCCTCGTTATATTAAACCTAAATAGTCTTATTTTGGACTTTTCCACAATGAAAAAGAGCTTAGTTAGAGGAAAAGGGACTTTGGTTTTTTTATTTGATTGAGTAGCCCCTGAGTGTGGTAAATTGGCATGGTTTTCTTTTGAAGAGAGTACAAGAAAAGAATGATTGTGCCAAGAAAAAACAAAAATTAAATTTTCACTAAACTAATAAAATTTTGAAAATTAAAGTGTTCCATTTATGTAAGAGGGATTCCTATGCAATCCTTATCCAATCCAACTCAGCGAATTTTGAGCCAGATCAATGATTTTTACATCACTAAAAAAAGACTATAGAGGAATCGAGCCAGATCAATGATTTTTAAATCATTAAAAAGAACTATAGAGGAATCTATATTCTGTTTTAGTGATGTAAAAATCCTTGATCAGAATTGACTAAGTCAGATTGGAACACATAGGTGGAAGATTCTCGATGTAAAATCCTTGGAATAACCCAAATACCCTTGTTTTCTTGATCGTTGTGTTGTGTTGTTTTCTTTTTGTTTTTTTTTTTTTTTGCTTGTTTGTTAATTGTAGCTCGGTATGCTCAGAAATTGTTTGAGTCTGATAGAGAGAATCAGAATCAACTTATGCTGAGTTGAGGCTGATTCTGTATTTTAAACACTTATCCTTCCAATTTTTTTTTACAGTTGCCCTTTTGACTAACCTCAATTCTTCCCAAACAACATGTATAATAGTTGGGTGCAGTTTGTATAGAGCCAAGGCTCTAAACAATCAAAGTGAAGCACACCTTCAAATAGTATCGAGAAATATGCTTTCAATACTATAAATCTTTGTGATAGTTTTAAAATATATTTTCATCTTTAATTATAAGATTTGAAGCTTAAAAAATAGTATAGATCGAGTAAATCTATAAAAATTTAAAAATCTTGAAAATTGACAGTTAAAAAATGTGCTACAAAATGCACTATTTCCAAAATTTGAAATCCAATTTTTGTCATGTCCATGCATATTGATATCGAGATGATCAATTTGCGGATATTTAGGCTTCAAAACAATCTCTTCTAATGAAATTTTTTATGTGGGCTCTAATTTGATTGTTTAGAGCCTCGCTCCATATAAACTTTTTCTATAAATAATTTTCCCTTCTTATTTGATAAGAAATGATATAATAAATTACACCAAATTAATAGCTTCAATATATTTAAAGCTCAATGTCTTTTTTTTTCTTTTTCTTTTTCTTTTTTTGTGCCTCTCTATTTTTAGAGAGTTGAGGAAAAGCTTGGTGTGAAAGTATAGAATCCAGAGTAGCGTTCCTATACACAACCCACTTTGGCCCCAAATATCAAAATACGCCTTTATAATACAATACAAATTTAAATAAACAAACCAGAATAAAATTCATTTGTGAAAAAAGAATTTGTGGTTTTTAATTTTCATTGACCTTTCTTTTTATATTCTTGACCCAAATAGTCTGCAAAATACCCGACGATGCCCCGGTCTAATAAATCACGGCTGAGCAAACTGGCATTTTAAAATGGACACAGTTCAAGGACTCATCTGTAGATATGCATCCCCTCTTCATGATTTATTTTTTCTTTAGATTCAAATTTTTAGGTATGCTGACCCCAATTAATTGGAAACAGATTAAAATGATGATGATGATTCAAATTTTTAGGTATATATAATCTCTGATATGAAAATTGCTATTGTAAAAAAATATTTTTTTAAAAAAATGATAGTTTAGCCTTGGTTTAATTCGGGGAGTCTGGTGTCTAGAGTCTGATCAAATAATTTTTATAAGAAATAATTTATCTGTATGAAAAATCATGAGACTCAAGTGATTTTAAGCTTTTTCAACTTGGATGCACCTTGAAAATTACTTAAAGATGTTTCGTTATTCTTGATGGCTTGAAAATCCATCTTCATCTCTAATTATAAAAGTTTAAAATTTAAAAAATGGTACAAGTTTTAAACTTTTATAATAGTTTAGATAACTTGTTACAATATGTAGTATTTTTTTTTTTTGAATGTTTTTTTTTTCTTATGTCCATACATCTCCAGGCGGAGATGATCAATTGGAGGGTTCTCCAATGCCAGGAACACTTTCTTCCCTAGGATTTTTGAGGTGCAACTTAGTTCTACAGTATGAGGTTGACACCTTAAAACTTATTCCTTTAAAGATTGGACCAACTCCTAGTCAGCAATACTCGCTTTTTTTACAAGTTTCTGAGAAATATTTTGTTTATTTCATAAACATTTTAAAATGCGTGGTACTTAAATACTTAAAAAAATAATTTTTTGAAAAAAATGAAATATAACTATATTATGTGATTGTCCTCGATCATTTTAGAAAATTTTAAAACTTATGTTTAAGTTCAATACATGTACCTACGTCTCTATTTCTTGGCATCTATTTCCAAAATTTATTTTAATTTGATCTTCCAATACACTGTCATAAACTTGAGTCATCTTCATTATCGAGCATTATCCCAACTATTCGGGGTTGGCAAACTTGATACTTATAATTTATTATTTTAGCCTCCATGTAAAATGATTTTGAGCGATTAAAATGATAAGGTCTAAATGATTATCCACTATTCGTTGTGAAGTGTGAACCGAAACTTTTTAATTTCACTTGTATTTCATTGTTTTTACTAAACTTCCCCCAATAAATTGACAAATAAACATGCACAAATATACATGTTCTTTTAAGTCTATCCCATGTTAATGGATAAATCGGTCCCTTGATAATCGTTCTGGATTGCCAGTTAGGCCTAGTGCATTGGTAAAAGAAAAAAAAACAAAAACAGATAACAAAATAGAAAAATTATAAAATAATAAAAATAAAAGGTGGAGTAGGATTAGCCAATTCCCTAATAGAACTGTCTGAGTTCTCGAAATATGGTGAGAAGTGGGTTGGTCTCCCTGATGTTCGATTCGAATCGGACAATTTGATCCAAATCGACATTCTTTTTAAATCATGAGTCTAACTTTTAGAAGCAAACCAAATAGCACATTTTATTTACTTTCCAAAAGAACAATTACATCTTATTTCTCAAAAAAAATTCATCCTCTATAACTCTGCTAGCGCAGGTCTCAAGTTCGAATAAAGGAAGAGAGTTGTGTTAGGTAGGGAAGCATAAAACTTAACCACTTCTCTTTAAGAATCGTGAACTTATATCACAAAACATGATTTGCATCACCAACTTCAAATAGTTGGGATAAAACTTGGATGATGATGATGGTTTTCATCCTCAATAATTAAGAGCCTTTTTGTTTTGGAAAATGGTGTTTGATAGGGTTGCAGCCCTATCAAAATAAGTAAACCCTCACCTCATAATTTATAAAAAAAAAATTACAATTCAAGCATCAGAGAACCTTTACATCGATCATCTCGACTTGAACATATTAGTTATGAAAAAAATAGGATTTTAAATTCTAAAACTCGTGTATATTGTAACAACTTTTCTAGACCGTCCATTTCACCTTAGAATTAAGTGTTCATAGATCCATAAGATCTACACCATTTTTTGAGGTTCAAATTTTATTTTCGATCATGGAAATTAATTTTGATTCCTCGTGGAGATTTCTGATGCCAAAAGTGCGGAGTTGAGATGAGGCTTTCTTTTGTTTTCATAAAGCTTAGGCCCTATAAAAACTTCATCCATTTTTTATTTATTTTTAGACCAAAAATACCAATTTTACTTATCAATACGAATTTTGTTGCCTAAATGCTCTTTCATGGGCAAACCATGGAGTAAAAGGGAGGGTTAAGTGGTTCCATAAAAATTGGCATCTAGAAGATAGAGAAAGTCTCTAATATCCAAAAAGGAAATGGCATCCAGTAGAGAGAGAAAGAGGAGAGAGAGAGAGGGAGAGCAACCAGGTTTGAAAATGGCATCCAGCACCGAAATCTGTTTTGTCCACTGATTGTTTCTGATAAATATCAGGCGTAGATGCCTACAACAATTCAATCTAGAGAGAGAGGCTAGATGCCCTACAACAATTGAAAATCTAGAGAGAGAAGCTAATGCCTTTTATCTTTAAGGGTGCAGTTGGCATACGATGCATCCGTAATTGATCCGTAATTGTATAAGTAAGGTGCACCTTCAAATTTTATCATGGTATATAATTTTGATGTAAAATATTTTTAGGATTATCTCAAAATTTATTTGTATATTTAACTATACAATTTTAAAATGGTTAAAATTAAGTAGATCTATGAACATATGAAAATCTTGAAAATAAAAATCTAAATAATATGTTGTAAAATGTATTATTTTTAAGACTTAAAATCTTTTTATTTTTTATGGTCATATATTTCGATTGCCGAGATGATACATCAAAAAGTTTTCCAATCGATTTTTGAAGTGCATTCATAATTTTACATCTTGAGGTTGCATCTTTATATAAACTTTTTCGTGGGAGACGTCTACAAAAATTGAAAATCTAGAGTGAGAGAGAGGCTAATTCCCTCATTTTTTTTCCTTTAAAGAGAGATGCCTACAGGAATTGAAAATCTAGATAGAGAGGTTAGATGGCTCTAAGAATTGAAAATCTAGAGAGAGAAAGGGGCTATTATTTTTAAAGAGAGACGTCTACAAAATGTGGAAATCTAGAGAGAGAGAGACAAATTGCCTCATTTTTCTTTGGAGGGGGATGCCAACGAGAAGTGGAAATCTAGAGAGAGAAAGAAAAACTAATTGCTTTATTTTTCTTTATGGGGGATGCCTGCAATAATTGAGAATCTAGATAGAGAGAGTGAGAGAGGCTAATTGCGTCATTTCAGTTTAGATGGGGTAGTCACTGGATGCATTTATAATTAAATTTGAGGGAAATTTTCAAAATTTTCCTTGAAAAACAAAACGAAGAGAGAGAGAGAACAGGAGAAAAGTAAAGAAACCGTCTCCTCTTTCTCTATGCAAGTCCTCCCGAGCTCGAGCTACTCTTGTTCACAAATCATCTTCTCACCAGAAACTAAAACCCATTAACCCCATTTCTTCATCGAATCGTCCTCCAAAAAAAAGCAAGAAAAAATCATCAATTTCCATTGAAATAACCCACATTTCTCACGCATTATTCTTCTCTCAAAACACCCATGATCGTTCCTCTTTTCCTCTGCAGAAAAACCCACATTTGTCTCCCATCATTCTTCTCTCAAAATACCCACGATCGTTCCTCTTTTCTTCTGCAGAAAAACCCACATTTCTCCTCCAATTTTTACCTCAAAAAACCAATCTTAAACCCACTTTTCCAGTCTATTTTCTTGCGACTTCACAGAAATTCCGGTAACTAACAACTGCTCGAAGGACCCACATTTTCCAGCAACTCCTGCATTTTCTGGCAATTCCTCTGCAAATTCCGGCAATTCGTGACCTGAAAAGGAAAACCCAAATCGCCATGTGTCGAGAATGAGCGGGAGAAGGCTCATAGTCGAAGTGGTTGATGCTCGAGACCTGCTGCCGAAAGACGGGTTGGGGAGCTCGAGCCCTTATGTAGTCGTGGATTTCGATGGCCAGAGAAAGCGAACAAAGACTGTTTTCAGAGACCTCAATCCTTCATGGCACGAGAAGCTTGAATTCGATGTCACTGATCCTGAAACAGTGGCGTATGAAGACCTCGAAGCCGAGGTTTACAATGATAAAAGGACTGGAAATGGAAGAAAAAGCCATTTTCTTGGTCGTGTGAGATTAAACGCGGGCCAATTTCCAAGGAAAGGGAATGAGGCCTTGGTGTATTTTCCATTAGAGAAGAAGAGCTTTCTCAGTTGGATAAGAGGGGCATTGGGGTTGCGGATTTATTACACCGACGAGCCGGAAAACCCAGTTCCAGCGCCGGAAGATGAGAAGTCTCCGGAGAATGAGACAAAGCCGCCAGAAGATTACACAGAACCGCCAGAAGATGACACAAAACCGCCAGAGAGTGAGCTCTGTCCGATGCCCTCAAGCCACGCCACCCAAATAGAGGAGCAGAACAGCCCTCCGGAAAACACAGCTCCACCGCCGGAAAATGCAGTTCTGGCGACGGAAGCCTTTATTCCGGGGCCTGAAACCCAACCTCCACCTCTGGAACATGCACCCCCACCCCCAGAAACTCGGATTCCAGTACGCCCACCAATAGGAATGACTCCCCGGAGAGTGTACGGATCCGGCGCGTTTACCGGTGAAACGAAGATTTATCCGGCGCATGATTTGGTCGAGGCCATGAAATACCTCTTTGTGAGAATCGTGAAGGCTCGAGGCTTAGCTCAGGGTTCGGGACTCGAACCGGTGGTCAAGATCAGGCTTGGTAGTTATAGTGTACGTAAGAGACCAGATTCTCGGAACTCTTTCGAGTCGAATCCAGAATGGAACCAGGTCTTCGCTTTTGGACGTGAGAGACTCGATTCGAGCGCCAACACCTTAGAGATCTCGGTTTGGGCTCCTTCTCCAACAACAGGAGGTGGTGGGTTTCAGGAGGGCGCCGGAAATCCCGGTGCCGGAGATGGGATTTACCGCAATGCACCAGGTGAATTTCCCGGCAATGTACAAGCTGAGTTTCCCGGCTGGGGACATGGCTCCTCGGGTGATGTGCCAGGTGGGTTTCCCAGCACTGGAGGTGAGCCTCCTATGGACGGTGGATTTCCCGGCTCCGAAACTGGTTTTCGTGGCAATGCAGCTGGTGGATTTTCTGGGAATGCACCAGCTGGTTATCCCAGTGCCGGAACTGGTTTTTCTGGCCAACTTTTAGGTGGGGTGTGCTTTGATTTGTCAGAGGTCCCGGTACGATCACCATCTGATAGCCCTTTGGCTCCACAATGGTACAGATTGGATGGCGATGGCCACGTCTGCGGCGATATAATGCTCAGTGTGTGGATCGGAACCCAAGCCGATGACTCGTTCTCAGAAGCCTGGCAATCCGATGCGCCCCACTTAGCCCACACTCGCTCCAAAGTGTACCATTCTCCGAAGCTTTGGTACCTTCGACTTACTGTAATTGAAGCCCAAGACCTTCCAATCTCGAGGTTTTCAGAGACCCGTGTCAAGGTCCAACTCGGGTTCCAGTCCTCCAGGACACGTCCTTCTCCACCGAGTCAGGGGGGTTCGGTGTCTTGGCATGAAGACCTCCTCTTTGTGGCTTCCGAGCCATTGGAGGATGCAGCGATTCTATTGGTTGAAGAGAGGTTTTCGGGCAAAGAACCGAGTCTTGTAGGCCATGTAATGATACCATTGGCTCCGGTTGAGCAGAGGCTTGATGAGCGGCTCTTGCCTTCGAGGTGGTTCGTGCTCGAGAGCCCCACTGCATTTGGTGGTGAGAGTGGCGGGGGCACAAATGCGACCAACTATAGAGGGAGAATGCACCTACGGTTGTGCCTCGAAGGTGGGTACCATGTTTTGGACGAGGCTGCACATTTTTGCAGTGATTTCAGGCCTACGGCGAGGCAGCTATGGCGCCCGCCGATAGGCACACTCGAACTTGGGATCTTAGGTGCTCGAGCCCTCTTGCCTATGAAGACCCAAACCCACGGTCCGCTGGGCTTGGGTCCAGGCGCAATGAAGGGCTCCACCGATGCATATTGTGTCGCTAAGTACGGGCACAAATGGGTACGTACCAGAACCCTAACCGATTCGTTCGATCCTCGATGGAACGAGCAATACACCTGGCAAGTATACGACCCTTGTACGGTGCTCACGATTGCCGTCTTTGACAATTGGCATATGTTCTCCGACAAGTGTCCGATACGTCCCGACACTCGCATTGGCAAGATACGTATTCGTGTCTCGGCCCTAGAGGGCAACAAGGTCCATACACGAGCATACCCATTGCTCGTGCTTTTGCGCTCTGGTCTTAAGAAGATGGGTGAGCTCGACCTAGCCATACGATATACATGTGGACCATTGATAGACACCTGTGGAGTTTACACACGCCCAATGCTCCCTCGAATGCACTATACACACCCGATCGGTCTAGCCCAGCAAGACGCACTCCGTGCTGCAGCAGCACGGTCGGTGGCAGCGTGGCTCACACGCTCAGAGCCTCCCCTGGGCCCTGAGGTGGTCCAATACATGCTCGACTCTGACTCCCACACATGGAGCATGCGTCGGTCGAAGGCTAACTGGTTTCGAGTCATGTCCGTTCTTGCTTGGCTAGGTGGGCTGGCTCACTGGGTCCACGACGTGCGCCAATGGCGAAACTCGGTCCAAACCATCTTGGTCCATGTGCTATTCTTAGTTCTAGTTTGGTACCCTGAGCTTGTAGTACCCACTATCTTCTTCTATATAGCCATTGTGGGGGCTTGGTACTACAGGTTTAGGCCAGTGGGGCCAATGGGGATGGATACCAGGCTGTCTCAAGCCGAGTCATCGGATTTCGATGAGCTCGAAGAGGAGTTCGATCTGATACCCAGCTCAAGACCGAGTGAAGTGGTTCGGGCTCGGTACGATAGGCTCAGGGTTTTGGCGGGACGAGTGCAGAGTGTGCTTGGCGACCTTGCTGCTCAGGGGGAGCGAGCCCAGGCCTTAATTGCGTGGCGTGACCCTCGAGCCACGAGGCTCTTCGTGGGCTCATGTTTGGCTGCCTCTTTTGTGATGTATGTCTCTCCTCCTAAGGTGGTGGCTGTGGCTTTGGGGTTTTACTTCTTGAGGCACCCTATGTTTAGGGACCCTATGCCACCTCCTAGCTTGAACTTCTTTAGGAGGCTGCCAAGCTTATCGGATAGGATGCTATGATTTTTCCGGCCAAATCTCGCCTTTTCTGGCAGATGATGCGAGGAAATTTCGTATTTTTCAGCCATTTGAATGGTGCTTTTATAGGGGAGAATGGCTGTTTTGAGGTGAAGCGTGGTTAATGTTCTGCTCTCGATGGAGGTTTGGGGTGGGATGGTACTTAGGTGATGAGGGGGTTATGGGTGAGTTTTGAAGGGGAGAATGGTGGTTTTGGGGTGAGTTCGATGTGGTGGTTTTCTCCTTTTTCTAATGGTGGGTATTGGTGTGGAAGAAAATGGATGCGCGTTAGCGCATTGGCTATCGCGCTGGCTGTTGCTTGTTGGCTTTCGAGCCGAAGATTGGGCAGCTGGTGTAAAGATGGTGGTTTTTTAAAGGAATTTGAATGGGAGGTCTGAGTTTATATTTGTAAGAGAGGAAGAGCTTTATTTGTTTATATATAATGAGGCTTGAAAAATAATGCTAGATGTTACTTGTTTCTGTTGATCTTCTTGTAGTTCTTATTTTTCTAAATGTAAGAAAGGGTTGAGAATACAAACAAATGAAAAAGGATGAGCAAAAACTCGATTGATCTTATTTTGAGATTAAGTTGGCATGAACTTGTATTTGTTTGTCAGCCTATACTGATTATGTTGTTAAAAAATGTATTAGTTATGTTCATCTCATTAACATTTGCTTGCATTAGGCATCAATTTATTTCTAGACAAAAGTGCAGGAAAAATCATGAGTGGGAAGAATCATGACATCTTGATCTTGTGTTGGTACAAACACCCTTTTTCAATTCAATGTTGGCTTCTAAAAAGGTGTATTTTTTAAATTCTCATGGCCGATCATGGATGCAATATGAAACTATAACCATGATTTTAGCTTGTGTCGGTGCCTCATCGGGATGACACTCATGTCATACACTTCAAAACTTAAACAAGTTATGTTATCTACTTTTTTTTAAAAAAAAATCTCATTATAAAGTATCTTAATGTTATCTAAACTCCTACTTCACTTTTTTTCTGCTTGACATACAAAGCGTTGTGTATCTAAAATGTTCTAAGGTTGTCATTTCTACCCTCGTGTCTGAGTCAAATGCTGATGTATCTTGACTGGAAGCACAGTTGATCTGCTTAATTCTGATCCTTGCATTTATTAGTCACTACTTGTAAACAAGAAAGCACTTAGTTTTACAGCCTCTAGTAACTCATCACAACTAGAGCCAAATTGTTGGCCTCATTTTTTATTGAAATGGGACACCTGTGAAAAGTATATGGTGAAACCATTTTGTTTCCTCTTCATTATGAATGCAACAAAGCTAAAGAAATAAGTGGGAATCAAACTCGTTGCAGCACATTTTCTTATCTATTTTTCCAATGAGTAACACAAACGATCTAAAATGTCTAGAGTAGAGAAAAAAAACTATCAAATTAGGTTAGATCCCAATCATAGGGCACCATAATTCAATATTTCCTCGTATTTTCTCGCCGTAATACTTTTCACTCTCAAAGATGTGTATTTCTATTAGGAAAAAATTATATAAGGTTGAGGCCCTAAACAATCAAATTACAGCACACCTAGAAGAGGGTATTTCGGCGTCGAAAAACCCTCAAAGCGATTATCTCGACCTCAAGATGTATAAACGTGGAAAAGAATGGATTTCAAGTCTGGGAAACAATGCATCTTGTAATGCATTATCCGAGCCATCAATTTTCAATATTTTTAAGTATATATAGATCTGCTCAATCTAAACTATTTTTGAAGTTTTAAATTTTATAATTAGAAATGAAAATAAAGTTTTAGGCTTCAACAGAGATTTTTGTGGCTAAAAAATCATCTTTTGATACTATTTAGAGGCATGCCTTCCTTTGATTGTTTAGGGCCTTAGCTTTACACAAACCATACCCTTTTTATTATAGTAATTACAATTTTAAGACGGTAATATTATAGTAATTACAATCTCAAGATGGTAAAAATGCATGAAAGCTTTTTTTTTGAAATTTTTTTTTTTAAAAAAAAAATTTGGGGATTAGGCACTAGGTTTCTAATGAATTAATAATCCATAAAACAAGCGATAATTTCTCCTTGTATGTACCTACATCCAAATTATTGACTCCCAATTTGGATGCTGATACTTTATTCAAGGGAGAGTGATTTCCTGTTATATATTTCCAAATAAACTGCCAATGATAGGATTTTACTATTGGAAGGGATTGAATTTAACTAAGAAGTAGGTGACCCCAATCTGCCACTTTATAAGGCCCTCTTCATTGTTATTCTAGAAAGTATATATTGAGACCATTTATCTTTGGTACAAAGAGGTCACAATTACTTATAACCATCCGATGTGAAATCTAATAGTTTGGGTGTGTCAGAAAGTTTCAAAAAATTCATTTTCAACTTTGAACTTAGTCAATAGAATAAATGCAGCCACGTAATTTCATATCCAATGGTAAAAATTAATTGTGACCACTTTGTACCAAAGGTAAATGATCTGAATTTATACTTTTCCTAGTATTTCATACTAAGTTATCTCTTCAAAGGATTTTGCTCTGTTTAAGTGCAAGTGTCTTTATGCTTAACAATTAGCTTGCTTAACAATAGCTTAATATATGTAGCATGACACAACCTACAAGAAAATGAATAATCAAAATTCTAATGTAGCAGTAAAAGAAAAAACAATCACAACCTAGGTATAAAGTTTCTGGCATGTATATCTTGTAAATTGTTGGGGATAAGCCTAGAATTACATATAACAAGTGTTCTAAACTCTGCTCGAGCCGCAGACTATGCCCTAGCCCATGTTGAGTTACTCAGGTGAGTCCGAGTGGACATGTGGTGGTGTGGAGAGCATGCGACAGGAGGAAATGAAAATTCTTGGTGGGTGCACCAAAGGAATAGTTGTGTGTACATAGCTTATTTTAAAAGAAAAAAGATTATATAAGGTTGAGACTTTAAATTGTAGAATTAGGGCGCACCTTAAAAATCCATCGCAAAAGGCTATTTTGACATTGAAAAACCATCTAATTGATACCTTGACATCTAAATGTATAGATATAAATAAATAAATAAAATTTCAAGTCCCAAAAATAGTATATCTTACAACACATCATCTAGACTTTTTATTTTCAAAGTTTTCATGTGTTTACAACTCTGTGTGATATGAATAATTTCTGGAGTAAAAAACTTTTACACTTAGAAATGAGTATAACCTAAAAAATTTAGACACCAAAATTGCATCTTATAACAAAATTTGGAGGTACAACTTACTTTGATTGTAAGGTTGCACCCTTATGCCAACCTCACCCTTTTTAAAATAATATTGATGTTTTCAAATATTTTAATTTTAAATATTCTTTTTACATTTTTTTTTTTTTTCAAGTTTTTGGTATAGGGCTAATCGGGCACCCAACTCGAGTTACTTGTCCGAGTTCGAGTGGGCTCAAGCGAGTAATATAACATTCCCCCCCTCCCATCTTTCTATTGAATCTCATTCAGGTGTCGATGTAATTAATTAAATAGTGACATTCTATTACCAAATAACAAGCGAATGTAATTGACAAGACACCCACAGGTGTCTAAGGATTGATTTCCCGAGACATAAATAGCAAATCACGACACGGTGAATTTGATTAATTTTGATGTATTTTCACGTTCTCTATTTAATTAAAGTTAGATTTTTCATTTTGAAGTCTAGATTCTCTTGAGGCTTTAAGGCCTAGATCCTTCTATAGAATCATTTATGATGTCATAAGATACATTTCTCCGTAAGAAAATAAGAGTATAAG